TGCCGAAGAAACAGAGGTTACAGATGGAACAAATTCCCTTGTGGCAAGAGAATCTTCAAAGCAGTCACAATAACAAAGTCAATCAGAAAGGACTGGTACCCACCCAAAGTGGACCTACACATGGCAAATTCCATTCAGTGTCAGTGCACAGCATTAATGTAGGAACAGTGAATCTCTGTCAGCAGAGATATTCTGAACGAGGACAGGCGGACTGTGACTCATCTAGAAGCAGGGTCAGAACGAGTGGACAAGTAATAGACAACAGGCCACCCAGATGAGATAAAACATGCTGAATTTAATGAGAGATATAACTAGAACGGTGATACCCCAGTGTACTCCCAGCTACAATTCATGGGCATGCAGTCTTTTTCCACAGCTTGTGAGAGGAAGCAGGCCTCAGTCCAGTTCCCAGACCGGCTGTGCCAGAGCTATAGTCTCACTCGTAGGCTCTGACCCCGTGCCCGTGCGGCTGTCTTGCAGGAGCGAGCCAAAGCCGAGGCCCTGAACAGGAGGCTGCGCGGCCAGCTGTCGGACTACCGCGTCCCCCAAGTCCTGGAGTACGTGCACGGCAAAGTCAGGCACTGCGAGCTGGAGCAGAGCGTGCGGGTGTGGGAGCGCAAGGTGGAGATCTCCGAGGTGAGCCAGGGCTCCTGAATACAGGGAGAGCGCTGCCGGACAGCCAGGCAGGGGAAGATCGAGGGTCCTGGAGCAGAGACACGTCCACACCATATTTAACAGCTGCACAAGTGAGATGCAGTATCACATCTGTATCACACGCCCATGCATATCACTGCTGGGGTTTTAGATGCTCATTCTTGGCTCCTGAGAAAACGTACTCATTCACTTAGAGAATCTATTAATGCAACCTGGTAAGAAAATGGTAAAACATGCAAAACCAAGTAATTTCCTCTATGTTTGTATGGATATATGGCAGATTTCTCTTTCGATTGATTTCTGTGGAAATAGTTTTGGTGAACAAAAAACACGCATTGTGATTGCCCACAATGAAAAGGTAATGAAAGTACAGTATGCTTGCTTTACAGCAGCACTCATTTCCTTTTTCAATTGTCAGAATCAAGTCAAAATTTCCAAGATGTTTTCTGTCCTTCCATCATCAGATGGCTTTGAAAACGCATCTTAAAGCCTGGAACAAACTGAAAGCCTCCAGTGGGCAGCAGCAGGACTGGGTGCCTGCATAGAGGGGCCGGGGAGAGGAAAAGCAACTGGCGTGTCTTTACAGGAAACCCTTCAGTCTCGACTCAGACAGGCCACCACAGGAAACTGACGCAGCAGCCTGTGGACCGCCTCCCCCGACCTGCAGCGTTTCCAAATAAATTATATCAACTTTGGTTTATCATGAACGTCTCCACTTGTGAACCCTTGTGTATTGGGAGCGTCTTGTTCTGCAAGTTGATCATGGAGGCACTGTTCACTGCGTGCTGCAATGGGGCAGCCCAAAGGGATGGGATTTTGCCACATGTGCTCACACTCCCCATGGGCACGCAGGTGAGGTTTGACTGCCTACTCAGAATTGCCCTCTCTGGTTGGGAGGTTCATGCCCAGTATGATCAGTGCTGCTTAGGTGGCTAAAGTAGAACCGAGTGTGTATGAGCGTCGAAATGCCCTCCTCTCCATCACTTCCGTTCTTCCACGGTGGGGGCAGTTCAGGCTTTGCAACCATTAGCACCACAAGAGGCAGGGCAACTGTAGCCAAGCTGTGGTAGTGGGGATATAGATAGTAGGATGCAACATGAGAAAGAGATGTAGGCCAGTAGCAGAAAAGAGGCCATGTCTCAAGTGGGAAAACGGAGTGAGATTTCCAGCAATTTTAAATTAAAAATGGACATCATGTCCTGAAAGCTCCCTTAGACGTATAGATGAACTTTAAAAAAAAAAAAGAGTTTAAAATTAAATGTACATCCTTTGCCGGCTAGACACAGCAGACTGACTAGTAGGGGCCTTTAACACATAATGGGACAGTGCAGAGACACCGATTAACCCAGTCAGTGCGAGTCTTTGAAAGGAGGGAGTAAACCAGTGCACCTAGAAAAAACCCACACACATCCAATGAGGGCATGCAGACTCCACACAGAATGTGCTGTGCAACACCTTCAGCAAAACACCTTAATGATCTTCATGTTGCCTTCTGTAAACACGAGAATCTTTGCTAGCCTGCACCACTAGTGGCAGTTTTTTTTTTTTACATAGCCAGCATTTTCCTGTCTTTGTCAAATTGTATCCTGTGCCAGAGCACGGCATGGGGAAACGGATACAGAGGTGCTTTCAAGAACAAGGCAGAGGGGTCTGCAGCTGCCCGGAGTACACCACAAAGCAACAAGGTCACCATTCCCAAGAAGCACCACAAATAAAATCTTTGGATGCATGCTTATAAAATGTCACGAATGTCAAAAATATTTGTCAGGAAAATTTCTAGATGCATAATAAAACACACAAATATTTGAAAAAAATTCAGGTTTCACCTTATGCTGAATTAGGAACAGGCACATCCATGGTTAGGTTTGCTGCTGTTCATCAATCAACATTTTGAAGAACAATTCTTGACTGAATCTACAATTAACTTACCAAACACTAGTTACCAGATACTTACCAGATACAGTACAACGTGATTTGGAGGAGAAACTCTTGGAAACCAACACTTACCAGATGTAAAAGTCTTGCCAGATGTAAAAGTCATCTTTTGGAATAATACACATTCTTTTCAATATTAATGAAAAAAAGTTTATTTGTTAGTGCTGTGTATTAAATGCTACATACAGATATTTTAGCTTGAATGTATATCCATTGCCACACATTAGGATCTTAATCACCTTTCACAAACTACAAATTAAAGAAAAAAAGGGAGAAAATACACATTTCATTGCAGAGAAGGGTCTTGTAAGCACATTTACAAGGTACAGGGCAATATAAACTAACAATTTGAGCATGCTCTGGGTAGAAAAATAGAGGTTAGGTCAGGAGGAGGAGTAACGTCACTTATACTGTCCAGGTCAAAGTTGAACAAGTTCTCTGCACTTCAGTAACTTTCACCTAATCCAGTTTCCACTCTCTCTGAAAAGCCCTTTAACCCCCAATGAGAATATATGTCTTGAACAATTAAAAAATTAGATATACAGCACTTAAAAACTTGCATCCAAATATACACAATTTTGATTTTCTTCTCCATCATAGTTTCCAATTCTTGGAGTTTCTAACAAACCCCATATGTCAGGTTTGGTACAGAATCAGAAAAGGAGACCCACAGGAGAGACAAGCTGCAGAGGAGACCCGAGCAGGAGTTCAGTGGTTGTGGTTCTGTGGGCTCCAAGCTAGCGCTATTATCAGCCATGTGCCCGATGTCTGGACACCTGTCCCCTCAGTGTCCCCTTCGTAAGGACAAGGAAGGACCGCTGCATCACCCACAAAGATACATACCTTTCCTGGACAAAATGGCCAAGATCGGAAATAAAAATATAACCTCCTCCATGTTAGCAGCTCCTGCCACAGAACAGAAACCGAAGCTGGATCTGCAGGCCTTTTACATTATTCCCACCCATGTGGCGGTGAGCCAACCATATGAAGTGCATCCGGTTTGCCAAGACTGTTCAGCACTCATTTGCACTCTGCTACTGGGTGAACAGAAGTGCTTAAGATCTATGATAGTGTCTTCATCACAGCCTCTGCCGTTCACCATGCACTGGTAAAGAGTAACATGGCAGATGTCAATATGCGCCACCTGCAGATTCAGATTCCAGCCAACCTGCCCACTTAATTACCCTCTAGATAGCACCTATGGATTCCTATTACTCTTCTTCATTGCTGCATCTTCTGCTCCGATAATACTACAGAAAAACAATGCGCTTGCATGATCTGTAAAAGCCTATTTCCAAGTTTTACACTGGGGAAGAAAATACGTCTTGCACAAAGCTATAAAGAATGCCACTTCAGGCATTACTCTTGCAGGCCACGTGCAACACTAAAACTCTTCCCCACAACATCATCCATGCGGGTTTGTACAGTCCTTCCAAATGCCCTTGTGAGCATCACCCACATCTGTATAGCTGGCAAAACAAATGACCAGAACACATTATCAACTACACATCAAGGAAGATGCAAACTTGCAGGAAGAGACACATGACAAATCTCCTTTCATATCCATCAGTTCTGAATATTTAGGAGAGACAGTTTAAGTGCTGCAGTCTGACAGTATTACTATGGCTGTTATTCTGTTTATTTATACAGCACTTCTTATCCCAAGGAACCCCAAAATCTGCTTTCTCCAACACTGAAGTACAGCTCCTACCTGGTGACTGTGCGGCAGCCATTCTGTGCCACAGCCCTGTTTCACAGCAGATCAGGTGAGGAAGTGAGAAACTGCTTCACCAGCTGAATTCACAGGCTAATAGAGGTGGGCCAGACTGTGCAAGCCCAGAGAGGAATCTAGCCAAGACGCCAGGGTTAACACCCCCCAACTCTTACAATCATCCCCTACACAAGTCATGGTAATTCATTACATGGGCTTGCAGCGAGTACTAGACTTTCAAGAGGTTCCACAACACTGTCTGCAGACAACACTGTCAAGCTGTTCTGCTCATGGAGGTGTTACAACTGTAAAGCGCTGCTAATTCCAGACCTCATTGAGTAATTTATGTATTATCACCCTGTTACCGTAGATAACACTGTTGAAAACCTGGACTGACCCAGTGCTGAAGTATGCATTCAAACTAACGAGCGGCTACCCCTAAAGAAATAAGTTTTATTTTGGCTACCGACTCGAGTTCAGTTCCACACAGTAAAATGAATGGCTGTTAGGAACATATAAACACCTCGTAGAAAAAGAGCTATAAAAATATATAGATTAAAATGTGTGATTTCATATACTTTTAAAATTGCATAAATATTAAAATTTAGTGCATCTTAGATCATACATCTAATTACAATCCCTCCCAAAGTTATGCTTCAAGCAGCATTGTTAGGATACTCTCATCAATTTTATCGTTCCGGCAAGGAAAGCAGTAAAAGAAAAAGAAGGCAAAGACTGAATTACCATTATAAAGGAACCTCTTGAAACTAATACTCGAGCCTTTTTTTTGTCAGATAATAGGAACAACTAATACATGAGACCTTAAGAAGAACCACCAAGAAAACAGAATGTCATCAAGACTCAGGGACAGCATATTCCATTGTAGTCAACTGAAGTGAAAGAGTCCTCCTCTTGCAACTTTTAAAAACAACATTATTTCTGACTTACACTTAATAAAAAGTAGCTACAGACAAATTTGCAAATGCAATTTATAAACACGCACAATGCATTTCCTACTACATAACTGGTAAACATATTAGCATACATACTATTTATGTACATAATACAAGGGAACCTTAAGCAGGTTTCAGGCTTCGCAGGAAAGATATCGGATGAGCTGTATGTATATGAACAATACATAATAAAGGAAGATATAAACGTGGTGTACTCAATAAAAGCAAGGATGCTTGGTCTTTTCATCAAAACTAGTTTAAGATTCACATCCCTTTGGAATCTGAAACAATGTATTTGGTACTCACTGTAATATTGTTTTCATAGTAAGGTAAACCTGGTGAAGCTTTATTGATTTGATATAACTAGAGGGTTTCTTCAGCTAGGGGCACAGACATTTTCAATATTACACAGCCAGAGACACTTAGGATGGGCCTTTTGCATACCGTGGCTACTGTAACTGTGAAGTACAGCTTGGGGGATATACATATAGGCATTGAGACAGCTTTATACACAAGTCCTGAGCACGGTTTGCTTTGATCACCTTGTCCCTGCAGTGTCCCAGTGCTGGTGACATAAAGGGCCTCTCTGCTCAAACCTGAAAGGTATCTCGATCACAGGAATGTAACTAGAATACAGGCGCGAGGCTTGTTGTTGTGAGGCAGGCAACACCCTACCTTTTCACACCCACATTCCCAAGGGAGAGGGGGTTTTAGTGGCTAAACAAAGCGGGAGTCTGCGACTGGAATGCAGGAAAATAATGCCATGGACGAGATTAAAAATTCTTACATTTTTTCTAATTGGGAGGCCAGATTTTTCCAAGTAATGACCTGCATCGCCCAGCTGCTGAACCCAAGCTGCGCGGAAGCTGTAGGCCCCATCCACAGCCCGGTCTGTACTTCATCCCTGTGCCACCCAGCCAACAAGGTGCAGAAGACTGAACCTTAAGATCCACAGGGGAAGAGCCAAGCTCACCACCCTCCCCCCCCACCCCACACCCAACCGTGAAGGAAACCCCCAGCGGAATCAGACCCATCACAGTGCCAGCGACTTCCACAGAGCAGCTCAAGAGCAGCCGCTGAAGTTCCAGGCCAGCTCTTCGACCGGCGCCACCTGCTGCTCCCGTCACACAGCCTGACCACGAGTGGCAGATCAGAGGTACGAGGTGGATCTCTTCCTGTCGCTGTCCCAGAGATCAGCCCAGGGACCTAAGAGCAGCTCCACAGGGGAATTCAATCCACATCCCTTTTTTTATAACCATCAAAAATATAAATAAGTCTATTTTTATATGGGGGGGGTGCTACGTTTAGAGTTTATTCTTTTCTGACAGGTCAGAAGAGGGGGATCGGGTGGGTGGGTGAATTGGCATACAAAAACAAAAAAATCCGAACGGAAAGCCACTGAAAACCCAGGGAGGGGCAGGGGGTCCCAGTGTTTAATTGACAGAGAAAAGAAAAAGGTTTATAACGTCTACAGCCGAAACCCTTGGATTTTATAGTTTAAAAAAAAAAAAGATACGGCGGCCCCACCTCCTAATAAATACGTTTCGGGACAGAAAGGGAGGTCTTCCCCGAGTTCGAACCAGCGGGAATCAGTCAGCAGAAATGGCAAGTCTACTGCCACGCGGCGAACTCTTGTGTCAGTGCTGCTGCTCGGGGGCGGGGGCTGTGCTGGTTACTGTATACAAGGGGGCACAGAGTACCCCCCCCCCTCGGCGGTGTGCTGGACAGTGTGCTCCTGCAGCGCCCCCAGGTCTCCAAAGCGCTCCCCGCACCACACGCACTTGAACTGCGCCTCGCGGGCGTGGACGCTCTGGTGCTTGGCCAGGTGCTCGCGCTGCTTGAAGCCCTTGTCGCAGCTGGGGCACTTGAAGGGCTTCTCCCCCGTGTGCACCCGGCGGTGCCGCTGCAGGTCGGACGAGTACTTGAAGCGCTTCTCGCAGTCCGGGCACTTGAGGGGCTTCTCGCGGGCCGGGTCGCAGCGGTGCTGCACGAACTCCGAGGAGGACAGGAAGCGGCGGTCGCACAGGGTGCACTTGAGCGGCTTCTCTGCGCAGTGGGAATTCTGGTGCCGCTGGAGGGTGGAGGACTTCTTGTAGGCCTTCCCGCAGACGTCGCACTTGTAGGGGCGGTCGGCCGAGGCCAAGGCGGACGCCGAGCCGCTGCACTTGTGCCGCAGAAGGTCCCCGGACTGGCTGAAGCCCTTCTGGCAGGAGGCGCACTTGAAGAGGCTCTCGATGCCGTGGACGTGCTGGTGATAGAGCAGGTGGGAGGGCTGCATGAAGCCCTTGTCGCACAGGTTGCACTTGAAGGGGCGGTCCTGGGTCTTGTGCGTGCGGCGGTGGCGCACCAGGGCGTACTGCTGCTTGAAGCTCATCTGGCACTCCTCGCACTGGAAGGGGCGCTCCTCCGAGTGGGTGCGCTCGTGCTGCCGCAGGTCGGAGGGCCGCTTGAAGCCCTTGCCGCAGGTGGCGCAGCGGAAGGGCCGCTCGCCGGCGGGCGTGCACTGGTGGTGCAGGAGCTCGGAGGACTCCTTGAAGTGCATCTCGCACAGGTTGCACTTGAACAGGTGCTCGCCGGAGTGGGCGTACATGTGGCGCACCAGGTGGGAGCGGTGCTTGAAGCTCTTCTCGCAGGCGGCGCACTTGTAGGGCCGCTCGGCGCTGTGCGTGCGCTGGTGGTGCGCCAGGTGGGAGGACTGGCTGAAGCTCTTGTCGCAGGCGTCGCACTTGTACGGCTTCTCCCCGGTGTGCACGCGCTCGTGCCGCGACAGCTCCGAGAGGTGGCGGAAGCCCTTTTGGCAGATGGAGCACTTGTAAGGCCGGTCCGGGGAGGTGGCCTCGAATTCAGTCTGGGCCGAGGCCCCCACCACCACCCCCCCCGGGCCCGCGCCGGCTGGGGCCCCTACCACGGTCCCCGCTCGGTCGGGGGCCTCCGCTGAGGGCTGCTGGGGGTTGGGAGCAGAGGGAGTGGGGGTGGTGTTCCCTGCCCCGGCAGAGTTAGGCCTGTAGGTCTTCTCGCAGATGGAGCACTTCATGGGATTGCTGCTACTGTGGGCGTTGTGGTGCTGAGCCAGAGACGTGAGGAGGGAGAAACCCATTTTGCACACCCCGCACACGAAGGGCTTCTGCTCCACCTGCACGCACTGGTGCTCCAGGAGGTCGGTGGCCTGGTGGAAGATCTTGAGGCACTGCGTGCACTGGAAAGAGCGATCCTGGTTCACCATGCACTGATGCTCATGGGGGTTGGCCAAGTGCGAGATGTCGTGGCCGCAGGCTCCGCACTTGTGCACGCTCTCCCCCACTTGCAGGGAGGGCTGCTGGGCCTGGGCCGCGTGTTGCTGCTGCTGCTGCTGCTGTTGCTGTTGCTGGTGCTGCTGCTGCTGTTGTTGCTGCTGCTGCTGCTGCTGGTGCTGCGGCTGCAGCGTGGGGTCAGGCTGCAGGACGATGCCGTAGACGGCGCAGCCCAGCGCGCTCTCCGCTCCGGGGGGGATGGTGTGAACGACGGGGGGAGGGGCCACAGCATGCTGCTGCCATGCCTCCGTCATCCTGACTCCGGTGTAGGGATTCAGCTTCCGAGTTAGTTCTGTATCAAGTTATATCATCTGGGGCCAATCGCGGCAGAGACCACTGGGGGTGGGTGGGGCGGGGGTGTTCAGGATTTCTTCCTTCAGCCTCTCTTTAACCTTTGACAAACAGGTGAGCTCCTGAACTCCCTCACTTCTGGGTAGGTATGCCAAAGTGGACGGGCAAGTCGTCGACTCATAAGAAGACTTTCTTTATTAAACCCTTAACTTTAATCTTCTTTGTAGGAACCCTAAACGATAGCTTTCTCTTTGCGGCGCAATCTCAAAAGAGATTTTCAACACACACACACACACAACTGTGTGTGCAACTATATGGTAAGACACTGTGTCTGAACAGTCAAGATTGGAAGTTCCAGTGCAGCCCAGTACATTTTGCTATCCTCCTCAGTGAAGTCACCACCAGCAGTGCGCAAATGGATTGCCTGTGAAAAGAGTATTATAAGAGTTAAATCACAGCAGTATTCCTTGGCCACCGGTTACTCCATCCACTACTTTCTTCTGCATTGAATGGAGCACCTCAGCGCAAGCTGTTTGTGTTGCGTGTTGTTCACGCAGGCCCTTGTTCTGCTGTTTCCCTGCGTCAACATTGTTGAGATTACCGCCAACAGCCAATTCTACTGCTGGACTACACATTCATAATGGTAACCAAACACGCAGTCTTCATTACCAAGGAAGCTCAAATGCCCTCCTGTGTCTGGAAGAAATGTGGACTTCCAGCTTTTGCACAGAGTGACCCCAACACCTCACTCAGATCTGCTTTGCAATAAACACTGAAGCTGGTGCCCTGGCCCCGAATGAAGAATGGTCAATATTGACAGAATTTACCCCTCCAGGTAAGATCAGCTGCTTTGCTCTGTACAAAACTATGATGCCTTTCAGCTGATTTAGCCCTGCACAGCACCTCTGGTTATTGTGGAGAACAGCAGATCCAGAAAAATAAAATCTGTCTTTCCACACAACATAGCCTGGATTCCAGCCACAACACTCAACCGATCCTAAGTCTACTACCTAAGGAGAAGCTCCAGAGCGCAGCAGAAATGTCTCTTCTATTTGGTTATATACACTATGTTCTCTGGGATGGAGATCTATTGTCCCTATGGATAAAGTGATTAACACACAACCAGAACTACAGAAAGACTGTGGCTCAAGCAGGAGTAGAGAGCAGCATTTTCATATCACAACTCAAGACCAAACAGTACGTAACTGCAATGCACGTTTTACATTTATTGCTCTCTTATTTTTGCAATGGACATTTTTTTTTGCTCTGAAACTGAAAGAATTTGATCACTTAGGTCTTCCAGTAAAATGAACTGGAGTAAATAATTTGATATTTGCTGTATTATACCCTAGCTTTTTATATGTATGCACTTATCCAACAGAGAAAAATTTGAATATCAGTGCTTGATAAAGCACAAATTTAAAATAACCTGCTAACAGAACACTGTAGACTTAATATATCTCCATCACTGCTCAGGATATTAATAGGGATTGAGAAATATGAGGCATCTGCCTATTGGATCAATACTGTTAAACAAGAACGTGAGAAGCAAGGGCTTTTCCAATTTCATGTTTAGTAAAAATCTTCACAATAAATGTGACGAACTATATTTGTACAGAATATATGCTGTACCTCAAAGAATAAAATCTGCTGTTGCAAAAGCATGTCTTGAAGGTCATCTAAATAAAGCTGCTGCAAAAACAAACCCCATTTTACAGCTCAAGAAATGCCCTCAAAAGACACCACACTGCAAAGCTCTCAAAATAATCTTATTATCATAAGTCAACACGGGAAATTCACCTGGAAAGGGTCTACACAGAGTTTCAAAACTGCACAAACTCTTTTTTTGTTTTGGCTGCTGTCACTACAGTGCCTGTCTGGTGCTTTTGATTAACATTTAAAATCTGTATTTAAATAGCAGGAAGGGAGAAGTTCAATTTTGAAAATGGTTTCATTACATATGGTTTTAAATAGTGCATTTGAAAAATGTTACACAAAACTGGCATTTTTAGGCAAATGAGTTTTGGAACTGCTCTACAAATGAAAAGGTGGTTTTCATTCATCATGATGTGCATGGGACTGCAAGCAGATCCGCATGACTGATTCACCTGACAAGGGAGAAAATATTTTTTTAGACTGTACTTGTGCACTCTAATTAAACACAAAATGTATGTTTTTTTAAAATGGACTTCTATAATTGTGATGATCTAATAACCACAGAACACACAGGAAATACAATGTGCAGCTGTGGTTATAGTTCACTTCATCTTTAAGGACGTTTATGGTGCAAATCTCAAAATCTTACAATCAAATGTGCTGCCTGGATGTTTTTCAAAGAACTAGGGACTTGCAGGTTGTACCAAATAAAATCAAAATATGTCAGCATTTTGCAGGAGAATTGTGCCCTTGAAGAGATCCAGTCAGTAGTGTGTTCTTTGCATCTCTCTTGGGGCTGCTTCAGTGTTAACACCCAATACCTAATTCTCTGAACTGAATGCTGACGTTGGCTTGAATTCAGACACTTAAGGCCAAGAAACAGAGGCAACAAAATTCTTCTCAAGTTATGGCATGAACGTGGGAGAAAGGAGGAAGAACAAAGCAGAACTTGAGTCTTCAATAAAGTGGGAAGAACCTGTACACTAATGCAATAGCTGGTTATGACTTCATTGAGCTTTTCTTTCATCTTTTCAGCTTTTGCATCATCTATGAATCTGGATAAGCGTCTGAACCCAACAATATGAACAGGACATCTTACTGAGGGGTTTTGGCTTCTGAAAACCCAGTACTGTGCTCACATGCAGCAACAAAGCACTTCTAATTAATTCAGATTTTATATGACAAGGACAAAAATCACATGCAATCAAAGTATAAAAAAACATAAGTCTCACGCTCACCAGGGATTTGAACAGGACAGATCTAGAGACAGGGGACAGTCCTGAGCTCTTGTAGTGCACAGTGGACACTGTCCAGCTCGTCTTCTGCAGCATTCTGATGGCATGCAGATTCTGACAGTTTATGAAAGTGAGGCGACACTATTCTGGGGGAGCCCCATCAGGCCATGTTTCTCCCAGTACTGACACACTGGAGTATGACTCTGCTGGGAGCTTTATTTAAACAACCTGAAATATGCTCACCCTTGCTTCACATAATACCCTCCCTGTTCTTGGACATTAACCCGATACCACCCCTTTCATTTCTGACACAAATGAAATTAAACAACAATAAAATTCTCCCTTCCCTTCTGCTGAACTCCTATTAGTGTGTGGACTCCATCATTTTCTCCTTTCACCCCAGAGAGAAGAGCTCCTTTAGAAAGGGTCCTTTTTTGAATGGGGCTCAGAACACTACTTCGTGTAAAACACCAGGCATTTCTGCAAAAGCAGGGAACTTACCCTGCTTACTTTCCTAATTCCCTGAATCACACAGTGCTGCCGTTTTACTACGGTAGAAATGAAAAGAAACAGGCAAGGAGCTCAATCACGTCTTAAGACAGCTTTGTCTCTCTATCCTTGTTTCCAATTAGGTGCAACTTCAAAGAGCGTTTGTTAGGGACAAGTTAAAACACATGTTAAATCAGATTCGGCGAAGCTTCTCGGGTATCTCACACGCAGAAGCCCTCTGCTAGCTAGAACAAGTCCCGAACACAGCGGGGTCTGATTGTTCACAACAGTACGTGATCAGCCTTCACCGTGCCCCTATGCAAAACCATCACTGAAATCAAAAAGGTGACAATTTTCTAACTTTTGAGGCGCGGCGGTGCTTCCTGTGAGCGTCCAAGGCAGTGTGCGCCGCGCACCGGGGCACGTGTGCCGAAGGGGGAAAAAAAATGTTTTGCAAGGCTTGTTGACAAAAGACCTGGGCTTCGTGTCTCAGGGCAGACTGGCGTTTGTAACTGTCGCCCTGCTACCTCGGCGCTGCCCGAGCGACTTCCATTGAGGGCGATCGATCTCTCTGTCTCTCTCTTTCCCTCCCGATTGATCAGCAACAACGGAACGGGCAGACCCCGCATGTACGGAAAACACATTAGGGTCCGTCCGGCAGAGCGCTGTCTCTACCAAAACCGACTCAAGCATTGGGGTGAAAAGGGCAATCGGACAAACCCCCCCTTTTTCGAAGCCGCCTGGAACGAAAGATACATACGTGGACACTACGACCCCCCCAACCCGATACTGAACAGAGAATATTGTGTCGCTGTGCTCCAGCCTTTCGCGATAGCAAACGGCGGCGGCGGACTGTCCATTCCCTCCGTTTCTCCCGGCTTTGTGCAAATTCCCAGATTCAAGCTGTCACAACGAGGAAAGGACCTGACAGCAGCTTACTGCTCCTAATTCCGAGCGACGATGCTTATCGGCACACACCGGAACCTTCGAAGAGGCGAACGGGGTTGGTGCACAATTTGAATTTCTCTGGTGCAACTTCCTTTTTCGATACCAAAATGATCAATTCGAAATGCATACATAATTCCACCTATTTGGCGTTTTCGGAAGTAAAAAACAACAACAACAACAACAACAACAACAACAAAACAAACAAGCCCCCCAAATAAATAAAAACACGAGCAAATTTAAACGCAGCACATCCCGCTACTCAAACGAACAGGAACAAAAAAAAAATACTATAAGCCGTCTGTTAACGATCGGCGAATGCAATATAATCACATCATACACGTCACTTTCTGTAATATTTCGGGGGAGGGGGGTTGGTGGCGGCCGGCTGCAAATTCGCCGTTAAAGCCCAACTGTTCTCAGGGCGCCCGGCTCGGTGATTACCTGCCCGCTCGGTCTGCGCGCCCTGGCGGCCGGCGTGTCCTGATTTCTGCCCGATTGCAACAGCGGATGGTGGCCGCGGCTGCCGAAGGGCAGAGCCGAGGCCTGTGGCGCTGGGTCGGCTGCAGGTCTAGGCCTCTCTCTCTCTCTCTCCCTCCCTCCCTCCACAAAGCGAGGGCTTCCCCACAAAAGCGCAGCTCCTCCGAAGAACGAAATAAAAAGACGTTATTTTCTTCCGCCGAAGTCTCCAGCACTTTTGATTTCCCCGGAAGCTTGAGGTTGCCCCCTTTTTTTTTTCCACTCCCCCCCCCCTGCCTTTCTCTCCCGGTTCAAGGAGCCCACTTCTTAAAAAAAAAAACACAACGTCGAGTACGGGAACCTGAGTAGTCAATGCTGTCCGTCACCGCGCACACCGGAAACTGAGGCAGCCCGGCCCCGGGGGAGTCCCTGAGCGGCGCACACGGCCCGGCTGGGTTCGCGGGACGTTTTTGAGACGTTCAAGACATTTTAAGGAACCCGTTTCCTCGCCAGAAATGCAACCAAGTGCTTGAGGGCTATCAAACGCTCTGTGAAGCGACACCATGTAGAAGCGTGAGGTGCCAGTGCCGAAGGAGTTAATGGCAATCGTGAGGCGTGTATGCAAAGTGCTTGCGTGCACAGTAGCAGTTACACACAGGATGCGGAGACTTTATACTTCCATATACGTGAAAAAAACACACACACAAGCCTGTCTCCATGCGCTCACGCGTTTCTGTTTGGCTCTCCCACACACACACATACACAAACGTGTAGTGTTAGTTACGAGCAAAGTAGCCGTTTAAGCTTCCGTCTGGTTTATAGTTACACAAGACATGCCCCGAGATAACCCGAGGTACAGTATGTATGAAATCTGAAGCCTCAGGATGATTGTCAACACGTTTGGTCCACGTGTTGCAAAATCTTTCGCAGAATCAATCGTCTGCAGACAGCTTGTGCTTCCTAACTTTATAAAATAATTGCCAATTAAAATCCAATACACACATACATGGATATTACATATCTATCTCACACACATCAGAAAAGCTGGTCATCACATCTATCTTTTCTAGAATTGATTACTTCAATGCCCTACTTACTGTAGTGTCTTAATCCACACTGAACAAACTCCAGTATGTTTAGAGTTCAGCAGCCAGAATCCTGACCAGGTTGCGTGCAAGCGATCACATTGCTCCTGTCCTGGAGTCCTTGCACTGGCTTCCTATCAGGTTCTGAGTCGACTTCACAATCCTAAGGCTCACCCACAAGGCTCTACATGGGTTGGAAGCTCAGTACCGCTCTTACTTTTTATCTGTCTACTCCCCAAGTCATAACCTTTGTTTGTCTGACTCTGGTCTTTTATATGTCCCCCAAGCTCATTTTCACTTTGTACGTGACAGAGCCATCTCTTGCTGTGCCCAGAGTTCTGGAGTTTTAACCCAGAGGATATCAGAGAGTCACCTTTACTACAATTGATCTGCAACAATATCCATAGAACAGTGTAAGGAAAGTATGTGATATCACAGACAACAGACATCTGCTTGTCCGTTTCAGATAATCCTTACATTTCTTATAATTAAACGACAAATGAGTAGACATTTATTGCAGGAGGTGTCCTTGACAATTTGTAGCTAAATGGGGGGGGTGAAAATAAACACAAATTCACAAAATATTATAAAGCACGCTTGTGGTCACATTGTTTAATGTGCGAGAAATATCTTCGTGTTTATGTATCAGTGTTGCTGTCTGTACCATCAAAACCAGGTGCTCAGCTGCCTGTGTTACACCTATACCCAGGCCGGCGTCGGACGCAAAGCGGAACTATTAGTGCGGGGTGTGTTGGTACACGGGAAGTTCAAAGCCTGAGCAATTTCGGAGCTCAGTGGGGCGGAAGTGTGTCTGGGTTAGAATTTATTTTAAAAGTATGAATCTGTATCCATGATTTGATGAGTGAAGAGTTTTGAATATTGTTATTCGACTGAAAGTGCTTAAGACTTTTTCTGGTAGTTCGCATTTGATGTTAAGATATTTTCCTTCGTCGGCGGTGGCATGTTGGTTGGTTATAGCAGCAGCTCAGAAGAAGAGGAGGACAGCTTAGCTGTGAAAAAGCGAAAAAGTGAAACTCTCCTAAACGATAGCGCTTCAGATTTAAAACGGCCGAAATTTACTCCAACACCTCTGTAAGTAACCCCTGTTGTCGAAATCGTGCTACTAATTTTGTTCACGGTTTTGTGGTGTGTATTAGTAAAAGTGATTTGAACACGGTTTCTAAAATATGGTTCAAGTTTTAAGAACGGTCTGTTATAAAAGAACAGGTCAAGTTTTATACCCATTCTGAAAAGGTATACAGAAGGGTGTCGAGCCTTCTTCAGGTGTGATACCTGAAGTGTGACCGCTGTTCATTGTAGCAGTGGGATAAAGCGACTCACGAAACGGTCATGAAGGCGAATGGACGCACTTTCACTCGAGTGTAGTGTGACAGTCCTGACACAGCTTCTAATACAGATCTACACCTATGCAGTACACTGCCGTGTATCTGGAATTCAGTATATTGTGACAAATTTGCCTCGGCTCTTTGCAGTGCTGTTCTTATTACTGTTTAACATAATTAGATTTTTTTTTTTATTGAGACACGTTATCCGGTCCGTACCACATTCTGCCTTTTAATGGTTTTTTTTTGCTCCTATTTCACTGGGAGATTGGCGTTTAGATAATAGATAAATAAGATATACAAGGGTACAGAATGTATGAATGGCTTCTACCTCGTCAGTATGGAGCAGGATGCCGTTGACAGGAAAGCCAGACTTCGTCTTGAGTTGTCAGTTTTACTGCTTTTGTAATACACTTACATGATCTGAGCAGGATTAACAACAAAAACATTTACATGACAAGTAGGCATGCGGCGGAGACTGCTGCTGAACAGTGGTGTGATTTATTCCAGAGTTTACCGGCTCCTTTACGAATGGTATAGATGATAAAAACAAATGGAGTGGGTTAGGGCCTAGTTTCATTGAACTTGCATTTTCCTCCTTCGCAACTTTAAACAGGTGCTTTAGCCTTGGTTGTGTTTCTGGTGGCTCGGCTTTAGCGGGCTGCAGGTTAGGAAGCCCGAGCTGGCTCGTGACGCCATGCAGTGAGTTTTATTGTCATCCCCACTGCTGCCAGAAAAGCAAGGGGGCGGGCAGCCCTTCCTCGCCCTCGTCACTGCCTCCTGTGTCTGCTGCCCCGCGCCAGTGAGAGTGCTTCCGCTTTGCCACCCCCCTCCAGAGAGCCGGGATCCTTCCAGCAGCAGGAGTCCGGCGCCCGCGGCCCCCGCCGCCCGGGAGAGAGCGATGAGGTGCCCTCCCCTGGACGTCATGCCCGTTTGCCCGTGCCGGGGAGCGTGCTGGACATGTTCAAGGGGTCGGAGGAGGAGGCTCTGCCGGATCCCTCCAGGCATGGGGGTCGGATGCGCTCTTTCGGCCACGAGCGCGGGAACTGGGCCACCTACGTGTACCTGCCGTGTAAGTGGACGGGGGGAAGGCTGACTTTATCCCCCACTCTCGCGCTCCCCTTGGCATTTGTGTGACCTTCGAATCCGCCATGACACCTGCAATGTCAGGTTCTCTACTGCCATTGTCTAAGCAGCAGGCACTGGGAAAGAAAAGCTTTCCAGCACTACTCTCAGAGTATGCTCTTATTTCCTCCTTGCACTCATACACCCACCCTTGGCACATCCGCTGAAGGCAGATGGGAGAAATGCAGTAGCCAGCCAGCCCTTGGCCTGTTCAGGCTTGGCTAGGCGTTTCTATAGTTGACAAGTGCCACTGAAGATGAAGGGTAAAGGGGTAAAAATGGATCAAGGGGCTCCTTGAGAGCTTCCTAAGAGCCCAGGATTTAGAGCTGCTTGTGTTCAAGCCTGGACTGTGTTATTAGCCCACTGTGACTGCATTTGCCCAAGGTATTGAGTCTGGTTCATCAAGCCCTGCCAAAGCTGGGTTAGATCCAGTTGGCCAATGCAGCAATGACTCTTCTGTGACTTGATATATGCCTGGTAGGTTGTCTGTGACAGCCTTTGCTCATTGAGTTTTAATCTTTAATCACATGGGTCATTGTCACTCAAAACACCATCCCAGAAACATCGGATCAGTGTATCAGGGGTCGTTTCCTGAAGCCTTTGTTCTCTTCTATCCAGACTCCCCAGACGAGAGCTTCCTGGAGCTGGTAGAGGTCCTGGCCCGGGCGGCACAGGGTCATGGGGTGGTGCTGAAGAGAGCGGACGAGTTTCACATCAGCCTCTCGCAGACCGTTGTCCTGCGCCATCACTGGATAGATCCCTTTGTACTGTCTCTCAAGAAAGAGCTTGCAAACTGCCAGAAGTAAGTCTTAACTTAACGGACCATTCTGTGGGTGTTCCTGGGATGGGGTTAGAAGGGCCCTGCTTGACATGATCAGGGCTTAAAAACTATTAAAAAATTAACATAAGTGCAGCAATTGATCGTTTAGCATGCATTGGGAATAACAACAGTGACTGAGTGTACTGCCGAGAAAGAGGGAGAGGTGTTTCTTCACCGATACAGTGACCAGATTTTCTCTGGTTGACTGCTCTTGCCCATGGTTTGAGTGTGCCATGTAACTGTGTTCCTATGGTCTAGACAGTGAGAGCTGCATCATTGTTCCGGTTGATTCTAACTCTCCTGTAATTCACTATAAAGCTCACTATCTGTCAAGTAGGAAACAGATCAATAATGGATGTTTCAGAGGAGTGTTGGAACAGTTCTAGGTAATGGTTCACAGCTGTCCTGTTATTTAGCCCTGTACTTGGAAATAAATCTACTTGCCCTCCAGACACAGCCTAGCTAACTTAATCAGTGATGTTTTTCTTACAGATAGGATTTTATATTCGTGATGTAAGGTCTTGATCTGCTGTGTAATCTTTTGGCAGGTTTATGTGCGTGGCGGACAGAGTGAATGTTTACACCAATCAGGAGAAGAGCAGGTAGGGCCTGTTTTGAAGGGTAGGGCTGTCAAGACTCACTTGAGACCTGCTGTGTTAATGTGAGCACCCCTGGCAATATGGCAATTATTCTGATCACCTGAAATACCTGTTTTAAACACCTGTCTTCTGGTTAGCCAACTGCTTTTCCCTCTGCGTGCAGTCTGGCTTTTCTTGACTGTGATTTACTGCAGTGTTAAGACTGAAACTCAGTGTTGTAAAGAACAGTTAAAGTCACAGTTAAAAATGATATCACCATCTAGTAGCTTGGAAATCCTTCCCTGGTTTTGGAGGCTGCATGTGGTTTCCTCACAAAGGGGAGGAGTGAAGAAGGCTTCTGGTGAAACGCTCCACATGCTTGACTTCTTGACCTTCAGGCTTGCCAGAGATGGGCGTGCTGGTAACACAGTAAAGTGAACAGGGGGAGGAAGGGACAATTAACCCTGAGAGCTGGAAGGGCTGTCTCACTCCCACTGCTGCGCTTGAACAAGTGGGCTTGTTCACTTCACTGTGATACTGGGTAATTCTCCAGCTTGCAGACTGGTAGGTACTGCTTGTCAGTGGTGATCGCAACATGATTTATCACAATCAGGTCTTGCATGTCAAGTAATTCAGACAAACGGCAATATGAAACCCAGAGGAACCTAATATTTATAAGGTTGTGTTAGATATCTTTGCTGTTTCCACATTAGACTTTAAATTGCTGGATTGTAATTGTGCATAGGGTGGTACATTGTGAGCTTGCAGTCTTGCTGGTCAGACCTCTCTCGACCTCGGTGCTGTTTCTGCAGGACCTTCCTGGGTGTGGAGGTGTCCGCCGGACACCCGCAGCTGCTGGAGGTGGTGAGAGCAATTGACAGGACCCTGCAGGAGTTCCGCCTCAGCACCTTCTACCAGGTCAGGACCTCTCCCAGCCCCCCAGCACAGTGACAGAGTATTTCAGATCTTTTGGTTCCAAAGCTTTGCAGCTCGTAAAACCTGAATATAGTTTTCGGCTTCGGTCTGTATCTATACTGCTCTGCAATTTAAAAGGTATAAGGCTTACCTACTTTTTACTGCAGGTAGCTCTGTCGTGACAGCAGGGTGCAAGGAATTGAGAATTGGGTGCAGTAATTTGTAAAGGACACAAGAGGGCAATATTACAGCGCATCACTTTTCTAAACACGGATGCAATCTTAGATCAAGTGTTTGCTTTATGAATGTAAGCGTGTAAAATGTCATTATTGTCATTTTTGTATGAAACATTTACAATATTCAGTATTCATTGGCTCATGTTTGTTCGTTTGTGAAAACCAGATTAGTATTCAGTTGTGAAGGTGTAAATCCAGCTGGGCTTTGACTTGTTTGGGGCAGAAACCATCGTTCCACGTGAGCCTGGCCTGGTGCGTGGGAGACTACACAGAGACACTGAGAGGAATGTGCTGTCAGGAGCTGCAGGTAATCCTCTTGCCCGGACTTCATGTGCAGGATGCAGTGGAGAGGGGTATCCCATTGGCACACATACAAACTCTCTTCAGCACGTACTGTAGAGGCAAGCCTTGTCACTGTGAAGTGAGCCCAGGTGCTAAAGGAGGTGTGTTTGTCCTCTGGCGTCCTTCAAGGCTGTAGTCTTTGCACCCTCAGTTGGTTTGTACTTTGAATTACTGTTACAAGGCAGGTGCTTTAGTTAAAGTAATAGGTTAGGATAGGGGAATACCTTACACAGTTAAGTGGGCCTGGTGTTGTTTATCCAATTGGACTTAGGCAGGACATTAAGAGTTACGCTTGGAGTTATGTAAAAAGAGGGTGTTGTATAAATTAAAATGAAACTTAAAAAGAGAAACGTAATACCTAAACATTAGAGAGGGTCAACACTGATCCAGATAATATAGCTCAGTCCCTGTTTGGAAGGGCAGACTTCCTATGTGGGACCAGTGTCCTAGGAACTAGGCTTTCTTATCCATTATTAATGGTTTCCTGCATCTCTAGAGAAACATCAACATGCTTCTTGCTAAAGGCGAAGTGTGTTGAGATGAAAGAACAGGTCATTAGCAATTTAAGCATATTTGTCCAGGATAAACCTGCAAAAGTTAACTTAATATCTAGTATATGACATTAATTGTTTTTTTAGCGTTTACTTTGGTAACCTGGCTTCATATTTGTATTTTTGTATGGAGATTTACAGCAGTTTTACAGGAAGATCATTTCTGGAGCTCTGGAGTAAGGCCGGGGATTTTAAGGGGGGGCGGGGTTAAGGTTGAGGGCAGGCCTGGCCTGTGTGTGTGGTGGCATTGCTCCTGCAGTTCTGCCAGGCATCCTGATGGGTACAGACTCCTCTCACAGCAGACTGCCTAGCTCTTACAGAAGGAGAGGGAGAAGCCTGTACACAGTCCGAGAGCATTAAGAGTTTCACTATTGGAAGACAAGACTGGCACAGGAAGGTTACAGGGCGATCGTGGCTGCATTGTAGTTTTTCTGCCAGTTTTGTGTTTCCGCAGGTCCTAAGACTAAGGGCAGTGCTTGAAATTCTTTCTGTAGACCATCCTTGACAAATATGAAGACGGTGCCTTCCAGCTCACAGTGCCCTGTGAGGACATCCGCTGCAAGTCTGGAAACAAGGTCTTCTCCTTCCCACTGCGCTGAGAGGAGGAGTCTGGATCTCCTGAGGATGTGGGATGTGGATCTTCCAGCTTCCATTCATCTACTCTCCCAACGCCCAATGGTTGGAAACGCTTTTTCCAAAGAGCGGAGCAGGCAGTCCTTGCCCTGAGCACTTCTTTTATCTGCGTGACAAACTGTTGAGAGAATATGGACGATAAAATTGCCCAAATATTCTCTCTCACCGGTTTGTTAGATCTGGGATTTCCCAGTCACTTTAGATGTAGAATATTTTTTAAAGAACAAGTTTACTTAGTTCAGAAGTAAAATCTGGCTAAAATCTATAGTTATTGTAAGTAAGTTGTGAACTTGAAAACATTAAAAGCAAACCTGCAGGTGCACAGGTGAACCTGACATATCCACTGTGAAACGGAGGGTAAACCCCCTTTCAGATAAACTGGCATCCATGTAACCAATGACTATATTTCATTACATAATAGAGTATATTTTCAATTTGCTTAGTAATAAATGTTACTTTTTATACAGAAAAGATGTCCGCTGCTTCTCTAATCATTTATTAAGGTCATGTTGTACGTTTTCTGTTCTTAAGTGAGTTGATGTAGTTGCTGGTCTCTCGCCAGCTCCTGAGCCTTTGCTCAATACTGCCAAAATCACCCTTTCTTAATTCTTCATACAAATTGTATTCACATCTCAGGTGGGGCTGTGGGATTTTGTAAAGCCTAGGTGTAGATCGAGGCAATCAATTGTGTAACTGAACGTAACTCTGAATGATGCGCAACAAACTGCATGCTACTGCTTTGTCCACAATTAAGACACTAGTTACACAACATTTGTGCACATGGAGCTTCTTGTGTTATTTGCCGTGACTCTAGTAGTTCCCTTTTGCAGTATCTTTTACCCATGGGTTCGCTAAATGTACTAAATAAAGTATGTGTTTCGTTCTGCTGTAACACTCATATCTCAGTTGGCCTGAGCTGGGATGTTTTTTGTGATATAGCTCATTGCTTATTTTCCACAGTGTTCGGTAACTGGCTCATGTTGGTGGAGGAGATTTGTCTGGAAGTAGAGTGCAGGAACATACACAATCATCTTAGTTAAATATGCTGAGTTATTAGTAGTAAACACGACTACAGGAAGTGTGTTATCAAATTTCATTAATGAAAAGAGTTTGAAATGGTTAGAACATGATCAGTTTTTAGGATGTGGTAGACCTGGAAGTAAAAGAAGGAATTTTACATCCTTGTGGCTTTTGTTATGTTTTTTCTGCCAGGATTGTCATTGTAGTGGTAGATTTTTCCCCATAGTAACTCTTTTTCATTAGTATTGCTTAACAAGCAATAAACCCGAGCCGTTGCTTGGGGGAGGGGGGCGTTTCCGTTGCATTTCCAGGTATTGCACTAAGCCTGTCACAATGACGGATGGCTTCAAAACCATTCCGCCACGAGGTGGAACTGGCACTTCTGCAGCCACAGCAGCTGTGTCACATGAGAGAGCCGGGGGTTTTTTGAGACCACAATTTAATGTGAGGAATGTGCATGTGCTTCACCTCACTTAAGAGATACCAGATTCCAAAAACATCTTTACATCATGCGATTACAGCTGTTTTTAAAAACGCAACCCTTTTTTTTTTTTAAACGCTGTAGCGCAGGTCTGACGAGAAGGTCAGCAGCCAAGGCCATACGCGAATGGACCAATCAAAACAGGACTACTTCAGCCCATCTCTCTCTTTGAGGTCATCTGCTCATGCTTCTTCCCACCGTGGAGACTTGTGGTCTTAACCCTTGTGGTCTTTGACGATGAAGTTAGGTTTTGGTGCATTAATAGGACAGATTTTCCCAGTCTACAAAGAAGCAGACCCGAGGCTGGAAAAAGACTAAAACGAGAGAAAACTGAATGGTTATTCTGGAAGACTAAGTTGGAGAGGTCACACTTATATTATCGTTATCATTTCAGCTGTTCAATATAACAAAATGGTGAGAAATGCTTTTATTAGTTTTTAAATGAATTAATGGCACCTGTGCAGCTCTGCCAGCTCGTTTCACCTCATTTTTGTACCCCAACAGCACTGTTGGTGTTACTACAGACATGTCCTGTCTGTTTTAAAAGTGAACTCTGCAACAGTCATATTCATAGCTTCTTCCTTATTATCTTGCTCTTTATCTGTTGTACAGTACTACATTTCCTGTCTCAGTGGGTGATGCTGTGAGCTTAACTTTACATAATCATTTCCCTATGTAACATACCTAGTCCATCCTGATGTGATGATGATATTTTATGCAAGGAGACATCTTAGACATTATAATTTATCACATATATAACAAGTTTAATTTTCTTTCTATTGTCATTAATCACTTAAAAAACAAACATATCTCATTACATAGAAAATGTTTTGAAAGCAGAAATGGCAGTTCTGTCCCAATTCCCAAACGTTTTTAAAATTAAATTTATCAACAAGACTTGACGTAGGAAGAGTTCTGAATTCATACCAGTTTAATATTGTAAAGGAAACATCTGTCCTGATTACAGCACATCTGGCATTGCACTTAGCCCAACAAAGAGGGGAAAAAAAAGCTCAATACCCCTAGTAAAGACAGCTTTATGTTGTTACAAAAGATGTGAAAAAATAGACAAGGCACATGGTCTGTGAACAGTACAGCAATTATATCGCAGTGGAGTGGAAATAACTGCCATTTTGACACAGTTATCCCTTCCATGTAACAGACATATCTAGGGCACAGTGAATAAAGGTAAGAACATCTTTACAACCACCAAGAAAAGCTGTCTAGTAGAGTAAACGCTTAAATACTGTACAGTCTACATTATAATCCAAAATACAGCCTCGCTGACGCAAAAACAAGGGTCTAAAAGCAAAAGATGACTGCTGAGATTTCTTAAATGATGAGCTCGTTTACACAAGCTACTGTATGTCAATGAAACTGGAGAGGGTGAAACAAGAGCCCTGAACATGCATACTACAAAAGGGAGACTTTTGCTTCCAAATCCTTTCCAACAGCAGTAGTCTAATGCAGAACTGAACAACTACAGACAAACTGAAGCTCTGTATATTACACACAGTACTCTCTGTACAGTTTTTGCTACTGGTGTTGTAGCTTCTAGAGCTGTAATCCGATGCGATGGAGCCACCTACAGGATCTCTTGTCTACGTGACCACTGTAAGCACTCGGATCTCTGCAATGTGCGAAGTTAGTTGCAGGTTTTTTCATGACCCTGCAAATGGGATAAGATATATCTTCTCTCGCTGGAATCCAGAACTTGCTACAGCCTTTTACGGTGAGAAAGTAAAAAGCACACATATCCTGAAATAAACATCAGAGAGGGGAAGTGCTCCCAGACTGCAAAGATGAAACATCTGCAGAGAGTCTGATCCGCTTTCTAGGGCTTTTTCAGACATGTTCCCCAACACCCATGGTGCCGGACTGGACTGGGTGAGCCACTCATGGCAGCCGATTTGAATCCAGGTCATTTTCACCTACGGGGAGGCTACATCACTCATTACTGAGGTTCCAAAAGTGGCCATGAACGAAAAACATACATTTTTAAATTCCCCTTGACAACCTCCTGTATATGCAGCAAAAATTGGTTACAAGCCTCTAGAAAGCAATTGGGAGTGGAACAGGACACGATTAAGGATAGTTTAAAAACTAATTTGGAGCATCTCGTGTCAATAATTAAAATATAACTGACATATTGCTATGGCATAAAATCATCACATACATTTTTCATTTAGTAGTGTCCTGAGCACAGTAATACCAAACAGAATTCTGGTATTTTTGCACAATAGCTAGAGATCATTCTCATTGTATTTCATAAAAGAAAAAGTTAAGGGATTCTCTTGTATTAAACCATTTGTTTTTCTAAATTGGTGGTAACAAGGGTGCTTTTAACCACTTCAAATGAGTAACCTCTCCACATTAATCTAGAGCATTCAAGCCACACAGCACAATTAGTTGAATTTGACTATGATCAACAGTTTATACACATTAATAAAGAAATTTGTTCAATGTGAAAAGGTGCAGAGAATAAAAATTAAAAACCAACACAGAGGCAACAAAAGCCCTGTCACTCCTTTTTACTAGATAAGAAAGTAGAAAAAGGTTCAGTGGAAAGACCTTTGCAAAACAGAAAAGTATCATTGCAGCAGAATGAATGTGTAAAAAGCTAATTGCTTGACATGGGTGAACTCTAGTGCATGTTAGATGCACTACTTGGACTTATTCAAACAGGGAAATAAAGACAGAAATAAAATCAAATTCTGCACAGTGGCATTAAAGTGCAACACTCTCTCTAGGCTGTGAAAAGATAATAAATTATTGTGTATTTATAAATGTACATCACTGCATGGCTAGTGGGGCTGTAATTGAAGCACTGCAGAAAGGCACACAGATCCCACCCCCAGCAGTACGTGACAAGAGTTCAAGTGCGAACACTCAGAAGAAGTGTGGTCAGAAATTGGCAGTGGATATTTAAAAAGTGCAGAAAATCACCCAGGGCAACAGCATTGTTTGAATGTGAATGCCAAGTGCTCGGTGGAGGAATGACATCTCAGGACACCGCAGCTGCCACAGTGCCTTCTGGGAAGAAAGGAGCGCTCACCACTGGCGGGCCTGATGCGACTCCTCACAGACCCCTTAGACACAGAGTTTTCACCAACATCACCGAACCGACAACCCCGCCGCAGACTGTGCCGCCAGCGCACTCGACTAACGATTTCCCGTATAAGGAAAGGTAGGAAAAAAAAAAACAAGAGAGAAGAAATTGGATGAACCAAACACTTTGTATAATTTAGTCAAAAGCGCAGGTAAGAGTCTCGGCACTGGATTAGTAAATGAGGAAAAGGAGAAACAATGCTTGGAGCTCACTCGGAGTGTTCCTCTGTAAAGGAAATTCCTTAAAAACTTTTTTTTTTGTTGCTTTTCTGCTGAAAATTTGATAATGTCCACCAACAGATTGCATCAGATCTCCAAAATATCATGTGCTAAAATGTCCAATACCGCAGTTTAATCTTCTGTAGCTTTGTGGGACTGCAGCTCAAACACCTTCTGTGCTGAAATGACACTCTAGAGAGAATGGCTTCATCTGCGATTAAATTTGCAACCCGAAACACACACAACATAGTTTCACCCCCCCTGTGCTTCACCCTGTTACAGCTGGAGATGCGTCTTCAGCTTCTTGAGGCGTGGAAGTCGTGGCATGACAGAGATTTGGCAAAGTTAGCTGTGCTGAGGCGCGTCTGCGTCGACGTACAGGGAAATCTGTAAATCCGACAAATGGAATCGAATACAAAAAGCATCAAAACAGGCCTTGGCAACTACGGGCTTGGAAAGAGGCATCGTTTGAGGAACGATGTACCGGAGGCACTGGAGAACACACGGCTGTTTGCGCTTCACCGTGACAGATGGTTTGACCTGGCCGGGCGTCAGTGCTGGTCTGACACCGGGCCCTCAGGGCGAGAAGAGCACCTTCTTGATGTAGCTGACCGTGGTCTCGTTCTGGAGCATAGCGATGTGCTCGTTGCCCCTCAGCTCCTGCAGCTCCACGGGCTGTTTTTGGCGCCCCACCCAGCGCCGGCACTGCGTGGCGCTGAGCAGGTTGACGGTGCCGTCGCCGTCCCCGAACAGCACCTTGGGCTCCCTGTCGGGGAAGTCCGCGTAGACGAAGGACTCGGGCGTGTCCACGCCGCTGCCGTACAGGCAGTGCAGGGCCACCCCCGGGGGGTCCAGGCCGCTCACCAGCGGCTCCGTCTCCTGCCGCATCCGCCAGCCGTCCTCGAAGTCCAGGTCGCGGTAGAAGCGCTGGTAGTCCCGCAGGGTGTAGTTGGTGGCGGGAGTGGTCACGAACACCTTGTCCGAGGGCCAGGTGTGGCTGTAGGGCAGCAGCCAGTTGGTGGAGACGGCCGAGCGCTGCTGAGCCCGGATCTTTAGGGGGCTGATCACCGGAATCCGGTTGTTGTCTCCTGAAGAAGAACACAGGAGAATGTCAGGTGGATGGAGACACACATAACCAAATCATCATCATCATCATCATCGTCGTCGTCAAGTACGATGTTTGACCTCTCCCTCAGGTAGCACGTTTGGAAACCCTGCTTTGAGTTTGTTTTGGATTTCTTTCTTAAAGACTCATCCAACCCCTTGGTTTCGCACTTCTCTCTGTACTGGAGCTCTGGAGAATAACCAGTGCTGGCTCTCCTGTAAGCTGTGTGGAGCGCACGACTGGGACAAAGAGCTGGCGAGTGAGCTGGAGCTCCCTGCACCTGCCCACTTCCTGCCCTTTCCGTAAAAGCGTGTTTGCAGTAAGCTGACATGATCCGAAACCGGCAAGCCCGATCTGGGAGTGCATTCAAATAAAAAAATCGAACTAGAATAAGTGACATCCAGAATATTGTTCTTTGCAGTCTGATAATCTCTCCTCACTTTCAATACACCACATAGTGATGAATTCACCGTTGCTGAACTTAGCACAATCACCTCTACTTCTGTCTAACATAATACCCATTCAGTAGTAAAGAATGCAATGTCAAAAACAAATCATACAAAGCACATGCCTATACAAGAACAGATCTTAATAGCAGAGAAGTAATGACTTTACGATAATGTAATGGTGCATCTTGAAAGAACGAGACTGAAAAATGCTCGCGTCTGTAATAGTTTAAAACTACTCGACTTTCCCAGTCCTGAGCTGCCCAGGAAGCTGGTGGGAAGTCCTCCAGGAGGGCAGGCTCTGCTCGATGTACCTGTGGCCACCACGCGCAGGGTCTTGGCCACCCCTCCCCAGGGCGGCCCCAGCGCCACGTAGGCCTTGATGTACCGGTCCTTCCAGGCCTGCGGCTGCTGGTTGAGGAAGTAGAGGGTGTACATGTTGCCCATGCTGTGAGCAATCAGGACCACTGGGCCTCCGAAGTGCTCCGCCATCTCCTCGATCATCTTCTTCAGGGCGACAAAGTAGTCCTGGTTCTCATCTATGGGGGGAGCATAAGACTTTACATAGCACAGCTTCCTCGTGAAAAAACAAACCAACGTGCTGTGATGGACAGCGACTTGGTGACACCAGCCATGATCCATCTCAGCACTTAAGGACATCTGCTTGTGAAAATGAGTAAATAGACACTGACTGGAGGTCAGACTTACGGGTTCCTTTCTGGAAAGCACGAAGTCATTTTTTTTTTTTTTTTACAGGTTCCTAGTCTAGAATGTGCTGTAGGAAATAAATGTTACACATCGGACAGCCGGGCCATGTCTGTGTGAGAACTGCCAGAGAAAAGCCTGTAAGACACAGGAACACCTGTCAAGGTGTCACTCCGGCTTAGAAAACGCCTGTCAAGGTGCTCCCTCCATTTAAGTGTTCATGGGAAAGAAAACGGTATCTTTCAAAGAGAAAGAAACAGCTCCAACTACGGCAAATAATACATTTTTTTTCCCTCAAAATGTAAAAATAGGCCTAAGCAAATTAACATTGGCCAGTTTTTCAAAACGCTTTTGTATTTGTTCTCCTGGCAAGAGTGGATTGTCATTCACAATTGACGTGGGTAACAGCTGCCCTGTGGAGGGACTGCTATGCCAACAGAACCGGCAGACAGGACTTCCACAGAGATGATACGTATAAATGATTCACCAATGGGCTTGTGTAGGGGACAGGCAGGTCAGTAAAGGTAGTACCCACTCTTACTCTAATTTAGTGCAGTTTTTGTTTTGGTTATTTTGGTAACTTGTTGATGAGCTGGAGATAAACGATGTGCTACAGAGATGCGATATTCACTGTTCAACAAAGTCTCACAGTATTAAATTGTTGTCATTAACCCATGAACCCAGATGCATATTCCAGCCCAGGGCTTCACTTTCCCTTCAGTTCACATGGAACCAGTCTGGTGTGAACCGATGCCAACCGGTTTGAAAATAAACCTGCTCTCTCAGTTTTAACCACAATTCTTGCTTCTCTTTATTCTGCTATATAAAACACTGCCACATGGTGCTAGCAAAAGCTGACTGACATCAGTTCCCTTGCTTCTATCCTTAACATACAGCCCAAGACTTCACAACTGTCCAGCAGAGAAATCAATCTAAGCTTGTTCTGGACATCTGTTGTATGTCAATAATACACCACAGCACTCCATTTCATGCTGTGTTAACGAGCAAATGGCCACTGTTTAATACCTACAGCTGGTAATAAGCAACAGCCATCTCCTTGTTCACACAAAACAGAACTACAATTTGGAGCTACTTATAATGGGACTCAGGGGTGCTGAATGACCAGTCAACATCTGGGCCAGCTGCACCGGCCCCACTACTTACTGGGAGCCTTCCTCCAGTCATACGGGGCGCCGCGCACGTCGTAGTCCCGAGTGTATCCCCAGCCCACCAGCGACTGCACGATTGTGTAGAAGTACATGCCTGGAACAGAAATACAGCTCCATAAGTCATGGGTCTCACTTGCTTTACCAACTCAGTCACCTCCTCTGGGGACCGACATCAAGTTACAGATGAACACTGTAAAAATAAAAAAAGGGGGGTTGGAGTGGTGGCTCTGTGGCTCAGGATCTGCGCCTGTGGCTGGAAGGTTGCCGGTTCAAATCCAGCAGCCGGCAAAGGAATCCTACTCTGTTGGGCTCCTGAGCAAGGCCCTTAACCCCAGCTGCTCCAGGGGCGCTGTACAATGGCTGACCCCGCCCTTTGACCCCAGGCTTCTCTCCCTGTCTGTGTGTCTCATGGAGAGCAAGCTTTGGTATGCGAAAAGACAAAATCCTAATGCGAGAAATTGTATAGGGCTCCAAATGAGATCTTATCTTATCTTACACACACCAGCAGAAATCGGGCCTATCCCTTTGCAGTGCATTCTGGGTCAGACCGCCACTGCTGCAGTCCTCTGGCGCGCGGAGGTGAGGCCCACTTACCCAGAGCGTGTTTGCTGGGGTCCAGGTACTCCAGCGGATAGGTCTGCCCAAACCCCGGCACCCGGACATCCACTCCGGGGGGGGCTTCTGTCCTGTTGCTGGTTCGGTTGTAGATCAGCCTGAATGTGGGCAACAAGTCGCACCCTTCCGTCACTCAAGCAGCAACATTCCTGTTCATCTTCTTCCGTCTCAGGCTACCCCCCACCCCTCAGCGAGCTTTCCAAGTGCATGCAAACGGATATATTTATCAGTTATATGTTGCATATTTAGGTGTCAAAAATACGTGTCTGTTGAAGAGACAGACACATGCAGAGGGCAGCGTGCTGGGACCCAAGTCACACTGCCTGCTGCACAGCACCTTCAAGACCATTTTCTTGACAAGACCAGCTCGCTTCTTTTTAAATAAAATCCCACATTTCCATGGAAGTTAGCAGGAAAGCACAATCCACAAAGGTTTAGGCTAATTTAAGGAAACTAAAAGTGCCAGGAGAAGACCAGAGGATCCACCTTCAATCACTTAAAAAAGGCAGGTTACAGTCTCTAGATCTTGGCTCTTCATTCTACTTCATTTACACACTCAGGCTCTACATGACAGAGGTAATCTTGCCTAAATCAATCCATTACAGGCACATGTGGTTTCAATCAAGCAATAAGACTCACGTGGGAGCCTTATGACTTTTCCATTTGCTGTTTTTTTGCTGCAGGGCAAGAAAGCTTTCCACTGCCCCTAGTCATGTGACACCGTGCATAATCAAACAGCACATGTTGGGTTTCTGGATTCCTTCTGTGCTGGGAAGACGTATGATCCTTTAATCACAGCTTTGAAAAGCATGACTTATGAAATTTGCATTTGTAACTGAACATGGTGAACAGATAAAAGGCACACTGCATCTAGTTGCTCGAACATTTTGTAGGCTCACGTACCTCATTGAACCTCTTGTTGTGAACAGTCAGTATTCCCTTGCCTATTTTAGCTGGATAGTTTTCAGGTAGTTCCTTAGATCTTCAGTGATACTCTGAGGATCTGTTACCATTTTGCACTGAGAGAAGCAGAAATAACATCTGTCTCTGTCTTTGCTTAATGTCCTAACTATTCACAGAAACTGACCAAACCTGACTGACACCCATTACCCACAGCACAGCTATGTCATTTCTGCAGGTTCACAATGTTGCAGCTCCTCTTGTTGCACCAAAGTGTGATCATGTCACTCTTGTGTGAGCCACACTGCACTGGCTTCCTGCCAGTATCTGAGTTGGGTTTAAAATGTCAGCTTCTATGTAGTCTACAAGCATCTTCGGCACATCACACCTTTGTTCCTGCACCCTCTTTGTTCTCTCAGACCTTCTGATGTTAGTCCACCAACTGACTGGTGGTCAGTAAACCAGGAGCAGAGGGAAAGCAAACATTTTTTTACACCTCTGAAAGTCTTCTCCCTAGGAGATACCAAAACGTTCCCATATTCAATAATGTTCCCTTAATCTGCTGGGCTGTAGGTCTTTCCTGCTCTCCCAGACTACTGTGTGAAAGTCTGGGGGAGAAAGGAAGCCAGTTGATTTGATAAATCCTGAGACAAAGAGCTGCTCCTCACCAGTCTGCCGTAGAAGCATGAGGGAGCTGGGAGCAATATCAGACTGGCCTCAACTGACACAGGGCTTTCTAGTTTTCATCTCACAGGTCCTCCCAGAGTCCTAACTGAACTAATTACTCATACACTTGTCAGTCATGCCTAAGGGTTTATCTGCCATGGTGTTACAGAGAATTGGAAAGCCTGCCATCACTTGCCCACACAGCTTCTGACCATAATCTGCACAGCCTGTGTTTTTGGTACATTGATTGTAACATCATTTTAAAACCTTTACTTTGATTTCTGACTTCCTCTCCCAAAACCACAGTCTCTGAGGTCAATGCGTCTTACTTAGGTATTACATCCTACTAAAAAGTTTCAGAAAAGAGCTCCAGGGAAATCCATAATGTAATCAAGATAGAAAATCCATTTCATTGAGGGCTTAATGAAATTAGAGTTAGTGTAGGAAATGAAATGTGCTAGACCTGGATCTTGAGAAAGAACTCAAAAACTAAGCTTTGAGAGTGCTGGTTGTGATGTCAGGGTGTTCGTTGCACACATCTCTGTTGTGTTCCTGACAAAAAGAAGGGTTTTAATATAGTGAATTGGACCGAGATACTCTGCGGATAGATTGTTGTGCCTAAAATAAATTATAACAGAGGTTTATGAAGTATGAACAGTTTTTAAGTGTAAACATGAACAGGCGAGAATAATTTACTTGTGCATTTTTGAAGACACTCTGACAACGCCAACCAACAATGTTTTTCCATAGGAGCACTGTGGTCATGATTCACATCAGATCTTTATAAGTGGTTGAGTACTGGCCTGGGTGACGACAGATTGCAAAAGACAAGCCCAGATGTACACATCAGCCAAAAATAGGGGAACTATCTGACCATCTGCAAGCTGCTGTGCAAATTCCGAGAGAACAGAACGAAATGAGCCTCTGCATCACGCAGATAACACAGTATCGATTTTAGAACTGGTAAATATGAAAAGCTACTGAGAATTACAGCAGATATAAGAAATCGAAAACCTATATTCTGAAAGATGATGAAATATAGCACAGGCAAGGCATTGTTACGATGTACAAAGCCTGCGTTAGATAATCTTACAAATTAATTTTCACTTCAGGACACCGTAGAAAACTGATACCAGCGCCTCAGAGAAAGCAAACCAGATTTATTGCATGGCTAGACAGCATCAGTTATTATGAAACAGCATAGATGTGCAGATAATCCCATCTCCCATCTGGCAACGGGCAGGCGGGGTTATTTTTTTCAGACCACAACTATCTCCACATATCTGGTGACATATCAGGCCTGTATTACATCACTGCCTGAAATACCTTTGGTATGTTGTTGTTCTTTTGCAATAGACTTCCATCACGGTTGACAAAACATGACCACACGGAAAGTTACAGTGGAACTACTCTAGCAACTAACCAGTAAATCTGTCTGGTACATTTACCGTCTGCTGTAAAACACAGTATAAATACTGTGGACAAAGCAACCAAATACTTCTTCAATCAACAGCCAAACTGTTAGCAACCACAAAGGACAGTGCCAGTAGCAGGCAATGAGCAGTAGCAGAATGGGGTGGGACTGGGTTACAAATGGTTCAGGATCTACAAAACATGGACAATGTCCTGTTAGAGCTGTCCCTTCCGCTTGCAGAGGCCTAGTGTCACACAGTGGTAGTTCCTAACATTAGCCAGTGTATGCGCTGTCGTGGCCTAACCTTCCACAGATTACCAGGGTTTTGTATGGGCCCCTAGTGAGAGGACGGCCTCAGGATCGCTCTCACCGTATGTTGTCAATCCAGCAGTCGATGGCGAAAGGGACAAGAAGCTCCAGGTTCAGCCAGAGAGTGAAGTAGTCCTCCGTCTTCTTGTAGCAGACATAGTGCACCACACTGGGCTTGTCCAGCTTGGCCTCCAGCTGGTTTCCCAGGTCACCCGGGACTGAAAGGCACAATAACACAAGACAAGTGAGGGGTTCCAGTCGAGCAGAGGGCCGCTGGCAAGTCTTGCTCGTATGGCTGCTCGGAGCTTGAAGAATGCACAGGATAGATCCCAGAAAAACTGCTATAACACAAAACATCTGCCTTATCTATCAGGATTAAGGCAAGAGTGACATGACTGTACCTCTGTTTTAGTTCATCAGTACACAACTACAGGTGCAAATACTGGAGCCCCGTATCTTTCATTACTACACTAGAGCACCTTCAGCACCTTCTTTTAGGACAAATGACTCTTAATGTTAAATTGAAGAGGCATCACTGAAAAAAGTACATCTGACTGTTGACTATGCTACCTGAGTGAATATGCTGGTTACACAGGGTAACACGTTAGGTGTCAGAACTATGTTCTACCTTTCTCGGTATTAAATTTAACAGGGTATACGCAAGAGTTCAAGACCAAGGTAATAAAAAACAAAACTCACATTTAAATAAAATTCCAACTCCGCCCTCTCAAATGTCAGTGGCCTGTATGTCTACAGTCAGTTATTTGAGAATTAATCTTTTATGAGGAACTTTATCAAAAGCCTTCTGATTATAAAGAGAATCAGAAGTCAGCTGAGCTGGAACCAGGCTGCATGAAAACACTGTTACACAACCAGTTTGCCTAGACCGGCTCTTTGCTTTCCTGACTTCCCAAATTCCAAGATCCTTTTGCTAAAAGGAGCTCACAACCCAGGTGCTTGAACTCAAAATAAAATGCAAAATATATACCGCATCACACCCAAAACCACTTGGACTCAAGCAAATGCTTAACAGCAGAAGGTCAGACTATGGTTTTTAGGTTGCTCCTGAAATATTCTGAACTTTCTACCTCAGCTGATTACAACATCTGGCCTGTTTACCTGCATGAGCTCTGCAAAATATTGCATAAAAATGTGCTGAATCTGCTTTCACTGAAGTGTACTTGGACCTTCTCTTAAACAGCAATGTAACCTCACAGAGGTCATTCGTTTTCTTTTCACAGAAGATCCCTCGCAAAACAAATTCAGAGACATCCAAATTTCACACGGGGATTTTCCAAGACCCTTGCTCACAGCAAAACAGTCACCTGTATTTTGTGAAAATCACTGTAAAAGATTAAGGGTGTAATCTAGCATTGGGTACTCAAAAAACATTTAAGAAGTATTTCAGATTCGATTTTGATTGTATTTGGAAACCAGAAAAGACGCACTTGTACTGCCAAAGAGGTAAAAATGGTCCTATCTTTAGATTATGGTTTATAAATAAAGGTTTAACATATTTCTCTAATTGTACATTTTTATGAGCTGTACATTTTCAGCACTGATGAGCCCAAAACTCAAAACAAAACTGAAAGGAAGCAATTTCCAGCAATGAATGCAACATGATTGCTCAAGGCATTTCTTTTTGGGGAATCATTACCCAACACTGGAAAACGCTAAAAAAAAATCCATTTCAGTCTTTCAGAACTTTTCTTGTAATTCACAGGGGCTAACCAGGACCTTGACGACTGCAGGGACCAGAGCTACCGCAGATGATCCACCACTGTTCCCCCTGGAGGGGAACGGACTCCCACACCAGGCCACAAGGACCAACAAGAGGAACAGCACTGCAACTCCTACCCACAGGACAGGAGGAGAGCACTGGAGAGAGAGGAACTCACAGCACGGAAGACTTTCATAAAGGCTGCAGGAAACAGTCATTCGGCGTGGAAGGTGGAATTGAAAAGGACTGGCAAATTTGGGGAGGATTGTGAACGGATAAGGCTGAGGGTTGCAATCAAGCAAGTGACTATTTTAGTTAGAAATCTGTGATTTATGCAAGAACAAGCAATTAACAACTGAATACACAAGGCAAGATTTCTTCTCTGTTCTGCCAGATGGGGGGCTTTCACTTCTTCCCATCAAGATGAACCACAACAGGAAGGGCACAGGCATCAGCTGATTGCTTGGCCCATCTGGTCTGTTAAGTAGCTAGCAGCTAATTGATCAAAAGATCTCATCCATGTTTTTTTTTTGAGTGAAGCCAATGTATCAGCTTCAAGCACATGGCTGGGCAGCTCGTTCAGATACTCCCACTACCCTTGGGGTGGAAAAAAAAAAAAGATACAGGAGGTATCACTGGTGGCTCATTACCACTCCCTTCACGGGGACAGCAATAGAAAGTCGTCACAGGGCTTGGACGTGTAGTTGAAGTAGCAGAATTTAATTCCAGGGATGTTAAATTTATGCCCGCATGGTGGTACAGTGGCCTGTTTTGCTGCCTGGAGCTCTTGCTTCTATTCCACACCTGGAATGCTATCTGTGTGGAGTGTGAATGTTCTTCCCCCCATGTTTGTGCAAGTTCCCTCCAGGTGCTCCGGCTTCCTCCCACAATCCTAGGACATGCTGGTAGGTTAACGGGCTTGTCTGCCTGCTTGCTGGGGCACACTCTGGCACCCCTAACTTCTGATCGGGAGACGAGGTTAGAAAACGGATAGATGGATGCTTAAGTTACACAAAATTCGAGAGAGTTAAAGTAAAACAAAATTAAAATGACAAGTCTGTGGGAGAGCTAAGTGAACCCCTCTTGTTTCTTAAGTTTGAAAATACCAGTTATTCTTCTACAACCTCTGACAGTTGTACCTCTGTGCCACCCCCGTTCCAATACAACTGAGCTGAAGTGTCTTCTCTGCAGCTCTGGGAGGCGCAGAAAATTTCACTTCTGCTTGGAGAGGAAGCTGAACTTCAGATGAAGAGGAACATGCAGTTAATGGTCCCAGGCCTGTGTAAACCACTACACAAATATTAAACCACACAGCCAAAGGCAGGGAGCTGCTCAAAGCTATCAGGTGCATAACAACCCACTGAGTATTTACAATAGCATGTAACCATTTGCTTGATAAGAAACCTTGGAAAGATTCCGCCAGACACTTTCAACAGCTCTTGAGGAACTGTGGTATTTCAATTAAACTCGAGTTCGAGGACATGAAAATTTCTCACGCCATTTAAACTATACAAGAGTCATACAGGGTGTATTTAATACGACGATGGCAGAGAGCAGGAACAATAAAACAGGATATATTACATATTTTCTTGAGAGTTGAGTTCTGAGAAGTGTTGGGGTGAAAAGCACCGTCAAACACTTATTCTGTACCTGGGAGGCAACTGCTGACAAACCTGGCATCTATTTTCTATTTCGTCACATTTGTGGCAATGTGTTTGTGTGTAAGGTTGTGTGTGAGGGAGGGAACTTGGCCTCAAAAAGCAGGTGTGCTAATAAACACATAAGGCGAGTTACACAACACCCCCCTCACCAAAGCACGGGCAGCGGACAGCAGTGCCGCAGCTGGTAGTCTTCATGTACCAGAGCCACGGCCTGCAAGCCGAGGGGTTTCAGGTTGTGAACATATCGGAAACTAAGGACGGCGTCCGTGTCCTGATAAAAGTGGTAGCCAGTTAGAAACAGCCGACTAGAGAACCCAGTTGCGTTAGCTAGACACGCACCACAAAAAAAAAGAACTTTAATGACCCTATAACGAAGTTATACAGAGAAAACGTTTAGAAAGATCGTTTAGATGAGGTTTAATCGTCTCTCCCACCCCGTCCTTCCGTAAACAGCTCTCTGACAATGCACCATGCTGCGATCAGGAAACCCGAATGTAATTAAGAGTTACCAGTACATTTCTCCCGGGGACAGTCATATGACTAGCCCCGAGCTGCCAGACATCTGCCCAGGGAGAAACATTATTACCTTCCGAGTTAGAGACAACCTGTAGGGGAAACTTTTCATCCACGAAGACATTATGAAGAGGGGGTAGATACTGTAGTTCCCACCCTCAACCTGAAACTCTCTGTCCCTCATTAACAGAGCAACTAAATATACAGTCACTCTTAACCTCCGTGTTTCTCTATGGTAAAGTCTCAGAAGTAGACGACACTCCTGCTGTGTTACACAACTTGAAGCAGAAAACTCCGCTCCGGAGACCGTTTCTTTGTGTGAAGACGGTATAAAACACAACGATATAATTGATACTCACTCAGAACTACAGGCGGCCGCTCCGAACACACGTCGCCAGAGCATTTCCGAACAGGACTACCGACACATGATGAGACAAAAAACACGTTAATCAAGAGCAGAATCACCGCAGGACTGGACACCATCTCTTCCTCAGGCACATACCGCGGTAGTTATAACACACCGGGTATTGTTAAATCCAAAGACCGAACCTCGCTACTGTGTGTCAAGCACGTTTGCTTGAGCAGACGGGACAGTCAAAACCCGTGATCGGCCGGTCTCCACTAAGAAGCAACAAGACTAAATTACTGACCCAACCCGCTGAGGTTGTCAGGTTAAGAGTGAACAACACCGCTGAATTTGTACTGGGTACCCGTCCGACAAGTCTCCACTAGACTCCCGCAGAGAGCATCGAGCGTGCAGATGGGGGGGGGGAAGGAAAAGCAATCGATACCAAATATCCTTTTTTAAACAGGTATACGTAACCAAGGGAAAACGATGGAATAATAACTCTTCATTGAATGATTAATTATACACGTATCGTTCCAGAAGATATCTGTCTCCTGATTCTATGTGGAGCTCTTCATTCCCTTACCTTTCTCCATATACACGATGCAATCAGTGCATTGTACACAGACAGATGGCAGCCTTGATTTTTTTGTTGACAGTCTTCCCTGTTTCTGCTTTCCCTTCACTGCAATAAATGTGATTCCCTGTTAAGGCATCGTCATCTCACAGCAGAGTACATTGATTTCACAGTCTCATCCTCACCCCCTCACCCCCCCACCGTTAAGCAATTTGTAAGATTTACAGCACCAGGGTATGCTGTAGTCTCTGCATCACCAAGTGCAAAAAGAGAATCACTCTCTTCTTGGGCTGTGGGATGCCCCAGCCCGTTTCAGACTCACCCATGGCAGCAGCTGGTACCCACCTGCACCGCTGGAGTGCCCAGAAGGCCCAGGGAGACTATAGGAGGCAGCCGCGTCTACATTCATGTACAATTCAAGTCCATGACCCTAGTGGAATTGAGTCTTGATGAAAATTTTAAAAGTTAACCAAAGCTCTGAAACTGTACTTAATTCAAGTTAACAAAAATATCGAGGTCATTGTGTGAAATTAAGACTCCTCTAGGTCACAGCAATGTTACTAAGCTCACCTGTGTATCTTATATGTGACAAACTATATTGTCGCATTTATAGAGTGTAAACATACTGAACAAGAATTTGAGCTAAGGTGTCTACAAGAACTATCGCCAGCAGCCATATCACCCTGCAACAGGCAGCCCCCTAAAGCTCAGCAGCCTGGTCAGTACCTAGATGGGAGACCTCCTGGGAAAGACTAAGGTTGCTGCTGGAAGACATATTAGTGGGTCCAGTAAGGGGTACTCACTCTGCAGTTTGTGTGTCCTAATGCCTCAGTATTGTGACAGAGACACAATACTTTAAAAAGGCGTCATCCTTTGGATGAGATGTAAAACAGAGGTCCTGACTCTGTGGTCATGAAAAATCCCAGGGTGTTTCTTGAAAACAGAGTTATCCTTTTCCTAGCCAAATTCCCCATTGGTCTTTACCAATTGGCCTCCTGATAATCCCCATGTATGAGTTGGCTTGTTACTCATGTATGAGTTGGCTTCATCACTCTGCTCTCCTCCCCACTGATAGCTGGTGTGTGGTGAGAGTACTGGTGCACTACGGCTGCCGTCGCATCATCCAGGTGGGGCTCCACCTTGGTGGTGGTGGAGGGGAGTCCCCATTACCTGTAAAGCGCTTTGAGTGGAGTGTCCAGAAAAGCACTATATAAGTGTAAGGAATTATTATTATATGTGTACACAAGAATTTTTGTGATTCCTCTGTTTTTTGCTAAGTGGGTTTGTGCTGGAAAGATGGAAAAACACTATCAAAATTACGTTGCAAAAAACAACTTCAAGAGACTTCATCAGTACTCCACACTCTGCTCCTCCACTGTCCCAGGACAGAAAACTGTTCTGTCGCTGCAAATTTTACTATGTGTCTCAACAAAATACAACATTCTAAAAATATTTTATTTGAATAATTACAGTTTAGACCTATTACATCGTTCGGAGCCCTGGGGCTATGGCCCTTTGTACTTCCCTTCCAGGATCTCCTGGATTAAGGTGAGGGCTCTGTCGTTAAAGACAATGTCCAGGTGAGCCATGCCCTTCAGCTCGATAATGTGGACCGGCTCCTCTTGCTTTCCCACCCAACGCTTGCAGAGCTCCATGCTGCGGCTGTCGACGGTGTCGTCGCCGTCGTCGTAGACGATGTCCACGGGATCCGCGTTGGGGAAGTTCTCGTCATAGATATAGGTGACCGGGGTGGGTAAGCCCACTCCGTACATGCAGTACACCTCCACGCCAGGAGGGGGCAGCCAGGCTGTGAGGTTCCTGGTGTCTTCCCACATGTGCCAGCCGTCGTCAAAGTGGATGTCCTTGAAGAAGCGCTGGTAGTCCCGGTAGGTGTAGTTGTAGCTGGGTGTGGAGATGAAGGCGTGGTCGGTCGGCCAAGCCTGGTCCGTGGGGATCATCCAGGGGTTGGTAGTTGTCATCCTCTGCTCTTCGCGGATTTTGATATTGGATACCAGAGGAATCCCATCGTTTTCTCCTGCCAAGACAAACCTCTGTCAGCGCTTCAAATGCCTTTGTGTTTTAGTTAAACAACTTTATAAAGTGTGAGTATGAAACCAAGGAAAATAAAGAAGTTTAGTGTGTACTAAATTCTCTGCATTCAAATCCAGGCTCATATTCGACTCTCCTGATCTAAAAGAGCCTTTCATTTCAGTACAGGCTATTACACAAAGTATCTCCTTAAGGTTAAACTACACTGGTATTCGTGGAGCTGCACTTTTAATGTGCTGTGTTGTCTATTGGTCTTTCAGCCAACAAAGACAGGAAACAAATTATTTCTGAAGGATTTCAAGCACATTTTTAAGTATAAATATCAAGAAGTTAAATGGGTGACTAGTGGAAATTGAATATACTGAAGCTAATAAAGATAGGGTAAGACTTTTTCTTTTTTTTCTATTTTCATCAAAATTCTAAGCAGTTAACAATTACATAGCCTGGTTCTCTATTTTGCTGTGGTGAGGGCAAACTGGCCATCTTTGCCATAGTGCAGGTAGCTCATCCACAGAGGATTAAAGATGAACGTCATGTGGATTCATGCAGAGATATTTTCAAGCATTTCCATAGTCAGCTGAGCTGATTGTGACCATATACTGTACATGACAAGACACGTTGGTGCCAAACATACACCAGGATGTCTCAGTGTCAGCCGTGGTTAGTGGTTTAGTCATAGATGTGAATGTTCCTGTTTTGGAAAGAGAGCCCCAGTCCAGACCAGGCGGTCAGGCCTGAGGCGCCACCCCAGTTGTCTGTCTTTGACCCACCTGAAGCAAGGACGCGGAGGGGCTTCACTGCGCCCCCCCAGGGGGCCCCCAGCGAGATGAAGCCCTTAATGTAGCGATCCTTCCAGTGCTGTGGCTGCTCGTTCAGGAAGTATAGGATGTAGTTGCTGCCCATGCTGTGTCCCAGCAGGTAGACAGGCTGCTGGTACTCAGAGTACATCTGCTCCACCAGCTCTTTCAGTTTTGCAAAGTACTCCTCTTGCTCATCTATCAGGCACAAACCAGACACCTGACAATCACCCAGCTGGACCAACGGTTTTCTTCTAGCATTTTACTTTGGGTTCCTGACCCTCATTTCAATAATTATCCCTCTAGAGTAATTCTCAGTGGGAATCACTTAGCTCTTAGTACATCTGCTGCATTGCTTAAAGGCACTGGCATTGCTCTTGGTGAAGGGATGATAAAGTTACTCATTTCATGAAACAGCACTTCTATCCAATGATGCCAGTAAAAACAATTGATTAAAACTATCAATATTATTTCATCACGAATTTAGAAGGCTGGCACATTTATCCAAGACAAGTCGCTTGAATTAGTACAATTGAACTGGGTATTGCCAGGCTGACCATAGCGACCTCTGGTGGTAAGTAGTAGTGGCAAGGCTATTTCATGTTCACAAGTAGTCAAGCCCTCAGCAACCCTCACTTCCCAGTGCCAGGTGTTTAGGAATTGCGGAGGGTGATATAATGTAGATGGCAGAATGTACAGTGACAGATGTTGTATAAAATATATTATACTGTGAATTAAGCACAAGATGTGTGATTCATAATCACAGCAAACCTCTCCTTCTGTGAGATTTTTATGTGCCGTGGGGGTTCAGTACTGCATTGAGGCCTGACACTCACTGGGCGCAATTCTCCAGTCGTACGGCGCTGCACGAATGGTCTCATTCCGGACGTATCCAAAATTCACCAGGTGCTCCACCATGGTGTGGAAATAACCTGCAAGACAACAGATTTGTGGTCACAGTCCATTCTCATGTGACAAATGCAAAAGGTGATCAATTAATTAGCCTGTGGAAGTTCTCAAAAGCGCATGTCATTTGCTTGAATTCCCCTGTTAAATTTCCAAGAGGAAATACAGGCTATTCACCATATGAGGCTATTTAACCCTTCATTATCTGAATGTATTTCTGACACTCCTTGAAAAATATGTACCTAAATAATATAATACCTAAAATATACCCATAAATGCATTTGGTTTTAACATGTCCGTTGGTATGTTTTTCCAGTCCTATCTAAAATATTGTAATGGTGTATAACAATTGTATCATTGTATTGTATTGTATTGTATGTAGAGCTGCACACCTGTTAGCTTGTTGGTGTCCAGAAATTCCACAGGGTAGGTCTGGCCAAATCCGGGTACTCGAATCTCTACTCCAGGGGCATTGGAGCTTTTCCGGGTTGTCCTGTTGTACACTATCCTGAAATGACACAGATTCTGATCAGTCAGAGGAAGGCTGGTCTGTTTCTGTTGATGTAGGCAGATGCAGATGCAAAGTAACTTAAGGCACTTGTTTTGAGGTGGAGGTGAAGCTTGGATTGGGATTCACTGGTGGTTTCACCCAGCTGTCTGATCACCAGTGAGGCCTGGTTCAAGAGCAGCCTCCGTGCTTGGATCAATTCTGATCAGAACTGAAGGTGCATTGAGTGGGAAGAGGGACAATGTCTCAGATTTCTGGTTCCTGGTTTTGGGCTCTCTTGAGTGAAGAGGCAGAAGAGAGCAGTGGGTGTTTGTTGACAATGAGCCCTTTTCCCCTGACGAAAGGCAACACAAATGGTGAGGTTGGTGGCAACAAAGTGAGAGCTAAGACACGACGGTGCTACCGTACCGGATGTTATCTATCCAGCAGTCGATGCCAATGGGCATAAACATGTTGAGATCGATCCAGATGGTGAAGAAGTTCTCTGTCTTCCTGTAGCACAGCCAGTGCACCAGGGTGGGCTTGTCAATCCTGGCCTCCAGTCGGTTTCCCAGGTTTCCTGGCACTGTGCAGTGGTAAGAGGTCACAGGTCAGAATGCTTCACATGCCTCCTTTCAATTTATTCCCCTATTTTTGGAGTGAGTTACTGTAAATGATTCATTGTGATTCTGGTTCCCAGTTTTTCCCTTGTGTCTAACTTTAAAAAAGAATGCAAGGACAGAGGGTGCTCACAACTAAAGGAGGTTAACTCCCATCTTATTTGTTGGACTTAAAGTAGAACTGTGTGACTGAGTCTTATCCAGATGTTTCTTTATGTATCCTAGGGAGCCAGCTAGGACGGACAGGTGGTAAATCTCTGAGCAAAAAAGTATCTTCTACTTTCAGTCTAAATAGGTCCATCATCTACTCTGAACTTCCTTACACAGATTTGTCCAAAAGTGCAACAGTATAGTACAGCATGCTGTATGAGACACCCCTGGCAAGCTGTGCTCACAGCTCATCAGTGCAAATGAAACCTGAACAGTCAAGTGTTAAAAATGCAGGCCGAAACCTGGGTCATGTCCAGCTGATAGTATCTCCACTCTGAGAAAAGCTTTGACTACAGGTCTGTATAATAATAGTATCTTCAGAGGCTATTTTAGAAGCTGTTGTATAGTGCAGGATATTTGTTGTGGTGAATGATACATTAAGTAGAAACAACCAATTCTCAGTCTGAGTTCACTATTCATAGAACACCCACTGGAATCGCAAAGATGCATACGATATTCCCTACTTTTCACAAAACACATGTTCCCAAAACAAAAACCTATTTCTGAAACCTAACAGCAGGCCTTTGTGTCATTATTTAACGCTCCTCACTGCATTAACAAACCGGCTGA